GGTTACTTCCTTCAAAAGCTTCAATTTTATTCAATGTGCCTTTAGTCCAGATCGGGCATGCAGCCATCCCAAACTAGGGCTCGCTGATCGGCAGCGAACATGTTCAGTAGCGAACGGTTTGGTGCATGCCTAATGGTGTTTTTCATTAAGTTATGCTTTGTGCTTATATTTTAGAGAAAAAACACCATTTTGTCGAGAATAAAATACTATCATCCGATTACTCATTCTTAAAAAAGAACTTCTGAACGTCGGTGTTTTTATTATTTCATCTATTCAAGTTTCTCATATGTTCGTATTAATGAAACAAATTTATTATTAAAAAATGTATGCATTGCTACAGCTTTTCACAAATATGTCATTTGCGTATATAGATAGATTCATAATCGTGACTTTTCAGAGAACAGTGAACAAGATGATGTCACATTCGGAAGAGTCTTAGCCAAAGTTCAATACAAGAAAGGTTTGTGTGATATAGAAATTTTTTAGCTGATTGTTAATCCTTTGAAAAAAATTTTTCTCAAAACACTATTAAATCTGTACATCTGTTAACACATGTGCATAAAAGAAGTTGAAAATAACATGGAGTATGTCATGACAAGGAAAAAGTGTGTTCGAAAAGAATAACTAACTTTAATAAATCATCCAGTTTTGACCGTAAAAAAGGGTTAAGAAAAAAAATAAGGTATGTTGTAAAATATTTAAATCAGAAAAAGAATCAAACTATTTATTAAGCTTGTTCAAGTTCAATCAATGTTCCAGCACAATCTTTAGGATGAAGAAACATCACGGGTTTACCATGTGCACCAGTTTGTGGTTTTTCACTAAGACAACGGATACTTTGTTGTTCAATGGATTTAATTGCTTCATCAAGATTATCGACCTGAAATATTCAAACAATATTAATTGTATTTTGAGAAAAAATTTGTTTAATAGCATAGAGTCAGTGAAGAAGTGATAACAATTCAGCTCTTTTAACAGCAATTAAAAACATGAAAACCTACTTCGATACATATGTGATGTATTCCACCCGATTTATTTTTCTCCAAAAACTTTGCTATTGGACTTTTATCTCCTAATGGATGTAATAGCTAAAATATAAAAAATATTTCATTATGGACATAAACATTCAAAAATATAGACTAATGTGTGGTATACCTCAATTTTTGTATTACCCAAATCAACAAAAACTGTGTAAACGCCATGCTCTTTCAGTGGCTAGAATTAAATGAGGTCTAAATAATTTAATAAGTGGTTCACTCAAAAAATAATTATTTAATACTTACAACAGCTCCTGAAACTGATTTTGCTTTTAGTACATTTTTGTAAAAACTACTTGCTTCATCAAGATCTGGTACAGCTAACGCGATATGATTCAATTTTCCTAATTTCCAAAGTTCCTTAGAAATAAATAAAGAAATATCAAAATATCATTGAACGAATAAAGATTATCAGTTATATATTACCGGTGTTGCTGACTGTTCT